GATGCACTTCCTCCAGGACAGATCTGTTAGTTCTTTTAGCAGTCCATGGTACTTTCAGCATTCTTCGCCAGCACCACAACTCAAAAGCATCAACTCTTTGGTCTTCCTTATTCATTGTCCAGCTCTCACATGCATATGAGGCTATTGAAAATACAATGACTTGTGTCAGGTGCACCTTAGTCCTCAAGGAGACATCTTTGCTCCTCAGCACTTGAAAGAGGTCCTTTGTGGCCTGTTTGTCCAGTGCTATATGTTGTCTGATGTCCTGACTGCTGCTTCCACTGGCATCGATTGTAGAACTAAGCAATGTGAAATCTTTGACAACTTCAATCTTTTCTCCATTTATTGTAATGCTGTTTATAGGTCCAGTTGTGAGGATTTTTGTTTTATATTGAGATACATCTCGATACTGCTGACTGTGTTCTTCAATCTTCATCAGTAAGTGTTTCAAGTCATCCTCACATTCAGCAAGGAAAGTTGTGTTGTCAGCATATCTCAGGTTGTTAATGATTCTTCCTCTAATCCTGATACCACGTTCTTCTTCATATAGTCCAGCTTCTCGGATTATTTGCTCAGCATACAGATTGAATAAGTGTGGTGAAAGGATACAACCCAGATGAACTCCCTTCTTGATTTTAAACCATGCAGTGTCCCCTTGTTTTGTTCAAACAACAGCCTCCTGGTCTGTATACAGGTTCCTCATGAGTACAATTAAGTGTGCTGGAATTCCCATTCTTCTCAATGTTACCCATAGATTGTTATGATCCACACAATCAAATGCTTTTGCATAGTCAATAAAACACCAGTAAACATCTTCCTGGTGTTCTTTGCTTTCAGCCAAGATCCATCTGACAACAGCAATGATCTCTCTCATTCCACATCCTCTTCTGAATCCAGCCTGCATTTCTGGAAATTCTCTGTCAATATACTGCTGCAGTCGTTTTTGAATTATCTTCAGCAAGATTTTACTTGTGTGCGATACTAATGATATTGTTCGATAATTCCCACATTCTGTGGGATCACCTTTCTTTGGAATGGGTACAAATATGGATCTCTTCCAGTCAGTTGGCCAGGTAGCTGTCTTCCAAATCTCTTGGCATA